TACTACTACTACTACTACTACTACTACTACTACTACTACTACTACTACTACTACTACTACTACTACTACTACTACTGCTACTACTACTACTACTACTACTACTACTACTACTACTACTACTACACTACTACTACTACTACTACCATCATCTTTAAAAAATAATTAAGAGGGCCTACATCAATATATAATTAAATTGATGATGATAATGATATAACATAACACTAGCATAATGTACTTAACCCAAGACGGAACAAGACTATAATAGGCCTGGCTTAATTAGGACAATTCATTATGAATCCTTGAATTGCCCTACATTACATTGTATAATCGTAATAATAATAATATTATCATTGTTTCTACAGTTGCTCCCTTCAAAAATAAGCAGCCCATCGTTTTCGCTCATTTCAATCTTCATTACTCAACAATATTAATATCATGCTTCTCCAGCTGAGGTCAAAATTAAGCTCTTTGCTGATAGAGCCAAAGATTCTCTTCTACTAGTACTAGGGCCTAGTAGGTAGGCCCAGTATAGAATCTTTATCGAACCGCTGCGAACCAGAGAGCTAGGCCTAGTAGTAGTAATATTAAGTATACAGCACAGAATTCTTAATTGTGGTATACAGACTCTGACCGAACCATCGAACGACCCAGACCGGAAGTGAAACCTATTGTTTTGCTTATTATCTTCAGGGTTGTTGTCACAACGTACTTGATGGTACTTCAGTCTAGATCTAGGCCTAGTCTTTCTCTGAATGTGTTGTTGGATCTAGTAATTGCACTGGCCTTTGAAACAGAAAGAGTGTGATTTTTGAATTTGTGAGACGAACGCTGGGATCATCTTCGTCATCGGTCCCAAGACCGATAACTTATATCTACTCCAAGTCTTGGATTGGATCGGTCTCTTGGCCTATAAATAGAATTACTTGGACTACCAGAATAGAATCTGGAGAAACCGGAATTTGTTTTGGTAAGTGTTTTACGGCGCTCGTCAGTAATATCTACTGAACTCGCAACTGCATAAGGTCACATGAGCGCGCCTGAGAATGTCGATCAAGACTCTAGATCAGAAGTGGTCATCAGGACGAACTGTCTTCACCAAGATCTAGTGTTGTGTGTATAATTCTAACTTAAATCTAATCTTAGATCTATCTAGATCTAGATCAAGATAGATTCTATATTCTATCTATACTGACTATACAATTGAATAAGTATAGCTCCTCGTTCTCCCCTTCCTGTAATTCCTACTTCCTAATTTCTACCCAATATCTGAATGGGGGAGAAAACGACTGAGTCCAGTTTCATCATTTTAGTTAAGTATGTACCTCATGTATAATAATAACTGTCAAATTCATATCTAATGAATAATACTATGAATTTAATAAAGCTTATACTTGTATGGGAGAGAGCGTATAGATAGATCTATCTAATAATGCAATCAATTATTTACTTTATCATACTATGTTAAATTATTATTTGCTAATCTGATTTGATAAAGATCTAAATCTAGATCTACATTTTCTTACACATTCACATAACAATTTCTTTAATTTTTCATTACTTCAGGAACAAAAGTGAGACTCATGAGGCTTTGAGACACTTTGATTTGCCAGCAGCTGCATTATGGTGAGAAAAACTTTTAACATATATATTATGTGTCACTCAGTCAATATCAGTCATATGAAGGAAATTAAAAAAAACTGAGTTAACATTATTTAAAAAAACTATCACCTTTTCCCTACAATTAAAAAAAAGAATGAAGTAAATATGACCATATTTGACGAAAATACAGTCGAACCTGCCCTGACGGCCACCTCTGTAAGACGGCCACCTGTACAAACAGCCACTTTCCATTTCCCCCCTTGCGTTTTTTATATATAATTTAACTGTGTAAAACGGACACCTGTCCAACGCGGCCGCGGCCACCATATTTTAACACACAACCCCTATCACACAAAGCAAATACACCTGTCTAATACGTCCACCTTAGTGACTCCATTACGTTTTGTCATAAATCAAGCATTGGGCTCTTGCGTTGTGGGCGAGCCGTCATAATAATCTAATCACCTGTCGTTGTTGTTAGGTAGTCCCTCCAACCGATCATGTTGCGTAGGCCCCTCCCACTCTTGACCAATAGGTAACAAAATTAATTTTCAGCTGCTTGTAAGGTAAGCGTGTGATCCCTCCTAACCCAAAAGCCCGGCCCAGAATTCACAGACACAAATCGTAAGTGAGATGAGTGGTCACTGTTTACCCAGTCTGTGACAAAGTAACAAAGGACGTCAACCTGAACTTGTGACAGAAGCGTCACTCGTTCTCCGAATGGTAGCGACACGTGTGTTTGTTTTACCATAGCACCCGGTCCTCCTTGTCTCACACATTTCGTTTTATTGTCACCCTTGTACAAAAGCAGCAACCAAAGAAAATAAGAGAAGAAAAAACCCAGCGAAAACAACAACAACAACAACAACATAACAACAGCAACATCAACAACGATGTGGCTACCTTCGGGTGGGACCTCAGAAAAGAATGGTTTGTTTTCTTCCACTTGATCAGTCCTGCCTAAGATGGCCACCTGTCTTATACGGCCACTTTTCTCCTTGACAATGGGTGGCTGTCTTACACAGGTTCGACTGTACAAAACTTTTAACTGTGCGAGGTGAAGAAACACGAAAAGGAGATTTGAAGTTGAGCAACATGTTTCCATAGCAATGGGGTCTTAGAATTGAGATAGAGACTTGAAATTTAGCAGGTATCTTGGCTAAGCCACTACAAGGTAACATACAGAAGTAGGAAACTATTAATTCTCAGAAAAAAACCCTTATGGAAACATTTTTTTTTCACAAGAATGGGCTTCATGTCAAATGCAACAAAATATTAGCATTATACTAGGATACCGGATTCTAAACTTTCAAAGTAGCTGTAAATCAAATTTATCTGTTTTTTATGAAAGGTATGTCTCCTGAGAATTTTGGTTCCATACTTTTACCTCTCAGTCAATGTTTAAGAGAAGGCAGCTGTTTCAATTTAACATAATAATCAGATATTGCTGAAGTAGGTAACTGGCTGCAACCACATGTTTGACAGATAATAAAAGAGTACCAAGTGCACCAAACATCTCTACATTAACAGAGTACAATCATTATAACAAAGAAATGAAGCCTCACTTTTTCCATGACTGTGAGATCATTACAAATCAGTATTGTATTGCGTCAAACATGGTGATCTGTCGTTATTTCAATTAAAACACCGAGCGTTGTCTCGGCCGGTGTCGCACCAGCCCTCGCGGTGAGCGAGTCGGCTCAATACTGTAGTGTACTGAGTGCTCTCGGTAGTTTTGCGGAAGGATTAATGCTAAATAATTCCAAGCCGATGACTTTATTCTAATAGAAAAAGAAAGTTCTTTCTATTGGTACCTTTTTTAGCAGGTATTTTACACATTTCGTGTTAAAAATGGTCTTTGAAAACTTTGAAGCTTTTTTTCGAGGTTTTCTATCCAAACGCCAAGGACCAAAAATAATAACCACGAGAAACCACGCTCAAAGCTGTATAGTTCTCCGTCTTAAGACGGTATTTAATCATCAATCTTTCTGCAAAGCATTCAAATGCATGGGTGTCAATTTTGAACCGGCCCACCTCGCATTCCGACCGCGAGGGGCTTCCCTTTCCACTGCGATTCTCCAGCTCATACTCGGATTATAATATACAAACAACTTACACTATTGTAAAGAAGGAAACCTGAACTTTTTCAAAGTGTTCAGCATTTGGTGTTTCATAGCAAAAGAGCAAAGAAACAGAGATCTGAATTACCCCCATTTCACCGGAATCACGCGCTCGGAAGGCCACGAGTCGGCTTACGTGCCGTGTTTGCGCTACCTAATTATACGTTTGCAATAGCACAATAAACACACGAGAGCACACACACACACACACACACACACACACTAACAAACACTACACAAACACACACACGTGCAAACACACCAACACACATACACACACATGCACATAGACCGCCTCGCTGGCCTCTTGGTATGGAGTCCGCTTTGAGAGATCTAGAGGAAAGTGAATTAATCTTTTAAAAGCACTATAACACAATAAAAGTGAATTTTTAAAATCAACCAAAGTGTAAAACTGAAAGATCAACAGACGATAACAGCTAGCAGGGCACGCCCACACTGTCAACTGTTTATTTAAACAAGCTTGAAGTGAGGTAGAAATTACCGTTTTTACTCCGTTTTACCAATCAGAGTTGTCTACATTTCAGACCATTCCTGCCCGAAAAGGGGTCAAAATCTAAAAAAGGGTTGCAAATGAAGAACGTTGAAGCAAAGGTACTCCGATGTGGAGCATCTTTGGTTGAAACAAAGGTGGCCATGAGGGAATGGTTCTAAAAATAATCTCACAGCTACACACTAGCAAGGTCCAAATTCCTTTATCTTATCTCGTCACCCAAGCTCACAACAAACCACACATACCTACAAAATAAATCAAAATAAAATATTTATACTTTATTTAAGTTGTTTATTTCTTATCTTATATGAAGCAGAAGACATCAAACCTTCAATCCAAAAACCAAATATTTCATGGAAAGTTGTTTTTTTGCCTTTCGAGCCTCGGAGCTGATAATAGAACAGTGCGTCTTACGACTGACATTGACCGGGGCAGACAAAGTTGCTTTTAAAACAAAATGATATGAATGAGGAGGTGATACATACTATATATTTCTAGTTTCTCTCTACTTGCCCTCGCCCTAACACAATTGTTTTGCAAAGCATTATGTGCTATTGTAAATGTAATCATAGTTTGTTGAAACTGTTTAATTCCTCTGAAAATGAAGTTTGACTGTATGATGCATGTGATGATTGAATTATATAAGTCTTATATATATATACTTTTTTTCCTCCCTACAGTTTTTATATTACCGTATAAACATGAGAATTATTTATGTTCTTGCTTTTTATTTTAAAAAAATCTTTTTCAAGTCATGTAAAACTTGACTCAATTCTTCAATTGCTGTTGTGCTCTCAGTCTTATTCTGTGCTGATATGGAGGTAGTGAATATTAATAGGGTCTTTAAGGTGCCTGCTGTTAAGAAACTGAGCTTAGGGTCAGCTACATTTATAGCTGTTTATGCTTACTGCTGTACGAGCATGGCTATTGGTTTTCAGTGCAGAATAGTTGAATAATGATAGGCCTATAATTTAATTGTTTAGAGTTTAGATCGTTGATATTCTGCCTGCATTTTTGTAAACATTTATTATCTACCGTTCCTTTTATAATTTGAGTGTTATATTAACCACATTCAACAACCCCCCCCCCCCCTCCCTGCTTTTTACTTGTTCGTCTTTTAGGCTTTGGATGGATTCAACCTTCAAATCATCAACTATTATGTGCTCATTCCTGTTGTAAGTACACTGAAAGATAAAAATCACAAAAATGTATTTTCAGAATTTTGTTCATTTTATTATTTTGCATTTTTTAAATACTTATTTTTATAGTGAAGGATTTTAATTTAATATAAAGTGGGAGAGAAACACACC